CCCGAACATCCCACCTAAGAATCTTCCCAATGATCACCTGGGCATCACCTTCAAACCTCACTTCCGTAAACCCACTAGCCAAACACCATATGATAGCCTCCCGAAGAGCAAGCACCACAACCATCATTGGATCCTCGATCAACGGAAATTGGACCCCCTAACCAAGAGGATCGCTCTATCCGGACTCATGATCCCAAGCCCCTTAACCACCTGCCGAATGGGAACCCATCCTTACACCTCCAACCCACATACAAATCGCCATATTAGACCCAACAGGATCCAGGGGAGGAGCCTGGGAACGAGAAAGCTGGAGGGGCTGATCCACCGGAAGGCCAATCCATTCCTTCACCTGTTGCAGGAACTGCCGCATAAAGGTTGGGATCCCAAACTGTTTGCCCTAAAAAACAACCCAATTTCGAGATCGCCAAATCCGCCATAACACAGCAACTACCTCCATGAGCAAGGGTGGTTGGCGAATCAAGGCTAATAATTTCCTTAAGAAGAGCGGGAAAGCATGACGAGGCAACCCTTCACCCAGGTGGGCAAGCCCGGAATGATCCCAAAGGGCACGAGCTACCGGACAATTCAGAAACATATGCTCCAAAGTCTCTGAAGATACCCAACACACCTGGCATCGAGGGAGTACATCCACCTCCTTTTTAATCAGGACCTCCGTCGTTGACAGTATTCGATGGAAGATTTGCCAGACAAATACCTTAAACTGGGGGGTATATCAGCCCCCTAAACGGAGTGTAGTACTTGATCTTGATATCCATTAAAGTATCAAATATTGATCTTGATCCAAAACATAGCATATTGGATATGCTATGAAGCTTGGTAAATTCCTTCCGTCACTCTCTAATTCATATATTCAGGGCATCAGTGCACCTAGTGATGACCCTCAATTCAATCTCATCATACCACAACTATTTGGAATGAAAATTATCCATGACAAAACACCAGTAGCACAAATAGTTTATTCAATCAAAATTCTACACTTTAACAAAAACATAAATGGAAAGTACAGGGAACTAAAGTTAGAATCACATGTAAGAAATATGGCGATTTTTTACCGTACCTCTCTATCTTTTTGCAAGCTTGAAATCAATTATGTAAATCTAATTAGTTTCAAAGATAGAATTTATAGTGTTTTAGTGCAATTGTTATATGTAGAATTAAAAAAAAAAACATACATACTCAATTGTACAAATCAGTACATGTAAAGCATGCTCTAATAGTATTATCTTCTCTTGCCTCTTGTAGCTGGCTCGATAAGTAGTAAATAAATAGGTATGTCGTAAGCAAAAGCAATCTAATTATATATATTAGGACCACAACAAAATCAAAGAATGTCTATCTAGCTAACAAGCAGCAATGGAGCTTCTGGATGCCTATCCCCAAGTTTCACTGTTCGGCTACATTAACTCAATGGCCCTCCTATGTGCAATCGAGTTGGAGATTGCAGATTTGATTCAAAGCCATGGCCATATTGGCCAGCCCATGTACTTGCAAGAGCTAGCTGCCGCTCTCAAAATCTCTCTCGTCAAAGCTCCATTCCTCCAATGACTCATGCACGAATGGATTGTAATCTGCCATACCAACACATATATACATGTGACTTGAATCGGACTATCAGTCGATACGACCCGCGGTGTATGAGCTCAATGTTATTTGGATTCGGCTACTAGACCTAGTCTGTAACTGCTTTTCCTTTACCATATTGGATTAGGGTTAGACCTAGGAGAAGTACTATAAATACTTCTCATACTCCTCTGTAATTTGTATCTCCTCGAAAAGTATAGTGAAACTGGCTCTTTCCTGTCCGTGGACTAGCTAACACACATTGTGTTAGTGACCCACGTAAATCGTGTATGTGTGTGCTTTCGTTTCTTGCATTGTCGAATCCTCCTATTTCCCGATCCGCAAAGCAACAGTTGTGATAAGTGGTATCAGAGCCTGGTTGAAAATCAGGCTAGGGTTTCGATTATGAAGAATGATGTCGGTAAACATGATGATCGATAAGTTCACGGGGAAGAACAACTTTGCTATATGGCAGATCAAAATGCAGGCTTAATTGAAACAACAAGGGTTGTGGGGGTCGGTGTCTACGAAACAGAAGAAGGCAGCGGTTGATGACGATGAGTGGAATACCCTAGAGGAGAAGGCTCACTCGACTATCAAGCTATCGTTGTTTGATGACGTCATCATTGAAGTCACTACTGAGAAGACTGTCGTGGGCTTGTGGTTGAAACTGGAGAGTCTATACATGACTAAGTCTCTAACCAACAAGCTGCATCTCAAGCAACGATTGTTCAGTTTGAGGATGCAAGAAGGTACGCCTTTGAGTGAACATTTGGAGCAACTTTATTCTATTTTGTTAGATTTACGCAATATAGATGTGAAAGTTAATGATAAAGATGTTGCCCTATGCCTGCTTGTGTCTTTGCCAAGTTCATATGATAATTTCGTATATTCTTTTATTGTTGGTAAAGATAACTTGTCATTGGAAGATGTTCGATCTGCTCTTCATACGAGAGAGAGATCATATATAAGGTGTCTGGATCTGTACAGGTGGTGAAGTATCGGGGTTGGCTGTTACAAGTGGAAAGGGAAAGAAACTTATTTTAATTTCTTTTTTCATTTGATAATCCCAATTTAAGATAACAAACTTATTTTATTAGGTAAGATTTATTAACTTTTGATAGATTAATTATCTAAATTTTGAAAGCTTAATGGGAAAACAAAGTAACATATACATATATGGATATAAACATGTCACAATTGCATTCCGAAAGCATAATTACTTGTGAATTAGTTTCGTATAGTTTTATTAAACTTTACACATTTTAAATTACATAATTTATTTTTAATTGATGATTAAAGCTACAACATATGTAGGTAGATAAAATGTATTAATGATGTATCTTAAATTGGTAAAATGACGTAGGTAGATAAAATGTATAGTGTTATTAAAAAAAAAGTTAGGCCTACAAAATGAAATAGATGGTGGATTTCATTGATGTAGAGGAGACGAAAGTGGTATGTAGTGAAAAGGAAAAAAGTTGTTGATGTGGCAGTAAGGGCCACATATAAAATAGATTTGATATTTCATGGATGTGGATGGTCTAAGCCACCATACCCTCCTTAATGATCGACATCATTGGATTGTTTTCTTAATTACTAATACAACCACTAATTTTTTAAAATAGTCAGATATAGTACATACATTTTTATAGAACACTATGACAACCAAATAATTTAGTTACTGAATTTTATTATTTCATTATTTTTAACGTCTCTAATTCAAAACCGAACACGAAACTTTGGTTCCATTTGGAACCAAATTATTTAGTTATCTAAGATTTTTAAATTTCTTGCTTAAATTCATTACCAATAATAGTTGGTTGGAGAAAGTAAAAATCAATATGCTACCAAATTATTTGGTTGGAAAAACTAAAAATTACTATGCTACCAAAATTATTTGCTTGGAAAAATTAAAAATCATTTTGCTACCAAATTATTTGGTCTCTTCCAATTTTATTTGACTATCAATACTTTGACTTCAATCAGATAACCATATTTGTAGTATTCTAACTACCAAAATCTAATTGATTGTATATACTATCATTTTCACAACTAATTTTAGTTTGGTTGTAAACTCTTTGGTTAAAAAAGTTAAGTTTTTGTTGTAGGGTTCCTTACCACCGAACTGAAACACCATGGTTATAAGTTTGATGGCAATTAGAGGTGGCAATTCTCAATCAAATCCACAATCGATTAAAAATATCTATCTAATCCAATTCATTTAAATCCAATCCATTTGATTCAAATCCAATTGGATTGGTGGATGAATTGATTGATCCATGGATCCAAATGGCAAATTACGGTTTGGTACCTATACTTTTTATGTTTTACATTTTGGTACCCAAAATTTATTTTTTTATATGAAAAATATCATTGAAAAATTACGTTTTGGTACCTTAAATATTTTCATTATAATGTTTTAGTACCTAAACTTTTCACATTTTATATATTGGTCCTTGGTTGAGGATGTCATTTGGATTCATGGATAATCCACCAATCCACTTGATCCAATCCATCAATCCATCAATCCATTGGATCCAACCCATTTGATCTATGGATCCACCAATGCAATTAGGGCTGGAAGTTTGATACCGGTATTTGGGATATACCGAATACCGTACCAAATTTGTCTATATTTGGTATTACCAAATACACGTATTATTTCTTGGGATTGGGATTGAGATTGAATTTCAATTGTAATTCGATATTAGGGATTACGTGATTGGAATCGGTATATACCAAAATACCGATCAATACCGAAATATAATCTAGGGTATATTTTATCCTCTCAACTAGACTCTCTCATTCACTACTACACAACCCTCAACCACCAAGTGTGTCATTTAATTATACATAGATTATTTCATCTTTGTTTCACAACTCAAAAGCCCCCATCCAACTCAATTTTGACTTTCCAATTTAAGTCAATCTCATCTCTCACCTAATAACTTGTTGTTTTCATAACATCAAAAAGCAAACACTAGTATTAGTCAACTCTCAACCTTCAATTCGTCATATTAAAGATTACTAATGACAAGAACTTGAGATATCACCTCTCATTCATTCTCCTTATCCATATCCTAGCTCTAGGCAAACTCAATACTCTTTGCTTAGTCTCTTTGCCCTAAATTAAACAATCAAATCTAATTTATATATTTAACTATTTATTTGAAATGTAATTAATTTCGTATTCGATAATACGGATTGGGATACCGAAGTACCGATTGGGATACCGTAATATTTAGGGATTGGGATTGGGATTGAGATACCGAAATTATTTAGGGATTGAGATTGAGAATATTGACTTTCGGGTATAATTCAGTATTCGAGATTTCGGTATTTGATATTGGAATACCGATACCGTACCGATTTCCACCCCTAAATGCAATTCACAAATCCATAAATCAATCCATTTGCCACCTATAATGCCAACCCAAAGAAAATAACATATGAAATATACCCTCCAACACAGCCCACGTGGTAATGCTAATGCCCCACACGGTATCACTTTGTCCCCGTGAACCTTCCTCCACCACCCAATTTGCCCTCTCAATTCAACTGTACGTACTAGTTGGAAGAAGCATTAATCAATAAGATAAGATACAAACCCATAAAAGAATCAAAGAGATATGGAGGAGATTCCCATAATAATTATGCCCACATGGTAATGAACTAAAATAAGTACACTATCTATAAAAATTTGGACCCATCTATAAAAATTTACAAGTTGGAGGAGGGAGAAAAACAAAAAGTAATTCGTACATGACAACCAAAAGACTCAAAAAAATAAGCAAAGCCAACCAACAAAAGGTGGCAGTAAACAAACGTTACATAAAAGACAATATAACAAAGTGCAACATGGGCTAAATGGAAGTTTTACAGTAATTAAGCACATATATATATATTATATATGTATGTATGATGAACTTACTATTGAAGATCAATCCCCCCTCTCTCTTATATATAATTGTGCCTTATAATCAACTTGGAATTAACGTTCAACCGGACCAATTCCTATAGCGCGCGGTTAACTATTATTCAATCACCCGCCAGAACTGTTCTCTTCAGCTTCTGCTCTTGCACTTCTCCACAGCTCTTGGTGCTGCATGCAAATCAAAATCCACAACTAATCATAACTGCATATGCGTACGATAAACAGAGCTTTTGCGACCAAGTTGGTCACGGAAATAACAAAAATTGCTGTTGCAAAAAAAAAAGGCAAAATACATATGGATAGCCATAACTTTGCACTTTGTGACAAATATAGCCAAGTTTTGAAAAATACACTAAAATAGCCTTTCCGTCCATAATTTTAACGGTGCAGTGATACAGGCTTACTGGACTAACGTCTTTTGACGATGTGTCAACTTTTTCTTCTGACTTTGCCAAGTTGGAAATGTCTATAATTAATTAAAAAATAAAAATAAAATAAAATAATAAAAATAAATGGACTGCCTTCTATCACCGTTGCTTTACCTTCCCTTCCGTCCCCTCCCTTCCCCACCGCCCCACCGCCGCTCCATCCTTCATCTTCGTAGCCAATTCTATCAGTTTCTCTTCAATCAATTCTAAGCCTTTTGCTTCCCCCTACTCGAATTCGCTGAACCCGACAACAGTAACACCACGACGACGGCAGATTCCTTGATTCACAGAAGATCGACGAGTTCGGCTATGAAATCAGAGTCTCCGTCGCCTTCTTCCTTGATGCGTAGAATCCATGGCCTGGATAGACAGCAGCGAAGTCGCTCGACCAACTTTTTATTTTTATTTTTTGCTTTGATTTGGCTGGTGCTTGCTTGGCCTGCATCGAAAGTGAAGCTCTCTTCTAGAGTTTGGTGAGCACTCTTTCTAGCTTTTAGAGTTCGGGGATTGATAGGCTAGGGGGTTGGGAATGGGTTTTTGGTTTCCTGGGTTTTGAATCCATCAAAATCCCCAATATATAAACCCTAATCTCTATGGAGAGAAATCCCTAATCTGCCAATCATTACTGAATTCGGTGACCACGACGTCGCAAACTCTGAATAAGAAATCTGGTGGCGGAGAACTTTTCCACAAGATGCCGCAAACTCAAGAAGAAAGAAGACATGTTCTCCGCCCCATCTGTTCGTTTCACCTTCTGAAAGAGGGGATAATTTTTCAAAATTTTGGGTTGAAGGCTGGAATTCAGATATACATTTTGGTGGTGATTGTCAATTAATTGCAATGGAGATTCAGATCTACTTCGTTTCACCCACCCTAGTCGCTGCCAGAGATCTTTATCAGAGCTTTGTAATCGTCTTTCATCCCAGTAATGGCAGTTGATAGAAGTAGTGGAAGGAGATAAAAACCCTCATCGACAACGAGAGAGGCGGCAGAGGACGCCAAGGGTTGGGGATGAGAAGATGTGTTCCGTCGGGAAAGACGATCGGAGCAAATGTGGTCGATTATCGATAACGAATTTTATTTTTGTTTAAAATTTGCATATATGTGGCAGCCAAGTGATATGACATGGCGAGGTAGAGCTGACATGGAAGCTGAGATGGCTTCCACATAAGCATAACGTCCATTTTACTAACAGAGTCACTAACGACGTTAAATTGTTTAACGAAAATGGCTAAATTTGTCAAACTAGTTTAAAAAATGTGGCTATACAAGTGTATTTTTCAGAAATTGGCTATTATTGTCACAAAGTGCAAAATTATGGCTCTTTAATGTTTTCATATATATATGTACTTACCAAGTCCAATTGCTTCAGACCCTTTCATTATTCGCAACCGCTTGCATGACTCCACGAACATCCTGCATTTATGGATGAAACAAGAGGAATAAATTACCATGCAAAAAACACGAGAAGCAAATAAGCCACCACAAAAAAAAAAGGGACTTACTCCCAAGGAACATCTCCAACAAGCATCCAGTCTCCATCTTTGTCCTCGTAACTTGGCACGTATTCGGAACCGTTCAAGATATCTACCAGCTTGCTCTCGCTCATAAAATCCTTCATCCCATTTGGTCCGCAATTGCCTGTGGGAAGAATTTGTAACTCTCGCCATCAATAAAAAAAAAATCATCCAGATCGATGTTAATAATAATTTTATAGCGACGAGCTAGGCGGTGACTAAATAGAATTAATTACCGATAGTGAAGGAGCTGAACATTTTGCCGAGGGACTCGGAGAGGTCGCTGTAGCTGTTGTAGAGTTTCAAGTCGACTTTCCTGAGGTATGGAGCGCCATCCATGCTCACCTTCACGAACGCCGCCGGCGGCGGAGGTGTGGCGGTGGTGGTGGCGGCGGCGGGTTTCTTGGAAGGTTGGGCGTCATTACTACTTTTCTGGACAGCCATCACGTTCTTTCTGAACGACCGGATGGGCGGCCAACCCACCACTTGTGCCCTGCAACACAACAACAATAATAAAAATAAATTCAACCCCAACGCATACATTATTAGTTTTTATTTCTTCATTCTTTTTTTTTTCTTCTCCCGGGTGGAAATCACTATTCACCAATAATTATGGGATTAATTATTACATTTTTCTATAGTAGGTTAGCCTCAAAGAAAGAAAAAAAAATACAAAATTTAATGTGCAGCTCTAGTAGTTGGGTGTATTATGGCGTAGTATGAAAATGATAGTTCGCAATACTATTTTAAGGAACTACCTAATGATTGTCAAGGAGATGAGTAAATTAATTAAGAGCTAAAGAGGTATCTTTCTTACTTTCTTAAGTATGTAACGAATAACTTAAATTTTTGAGACAAAATTACGATGTAACTTATACTACTCTCTAACATACCGGCCGTCACAGCATGTGACAACGTCAGGTGGGTGAAACCACGCTTTCAGTACCCGATATTTATTATTTTTTAAAAAAATTTGGCCCCAGCACTAGCAGCAGCACGAAGAAGAGAAGAGGCGAGATTAGATTAGATTAGATTAGATGATGTTTGTTTGGCAGCCGAGAAAATGGAAAGTAAAAGATTCCATATGTTTTGTTCTTTTCCCTTATGCTCCCGACACCCAACCAAAACCATCAACCCCAAAGTAGGCCCCAAACCAAGAAATTAAACAATACAATTAATTCTCTCCCACAGTCTGGAGAATCAATGGATCTCGGCAACTAGACAGCCAGATTATCCTAATCACTGATCTGTGCCAACCAAACCAAACCAAATCAAACCATTTTATATGAATATCATTCATGGTCATGGGTCATATCCCCAAGTCCTAACCGCCGCCCGAATCTCCTAATCACATGCATCGACTATATGCATACGTTCACTACTAATTAACCACGCCCTCTTAATTACGATTACTAACGTGCTTGAGCGTAGAAGCCGGAAAAGAATAATAATAATAATAATCATTTCAAGGATAAAGCGAAATTTATATGGAAAAAGAATTAATAAAACATACTTGGCAGGCGGTTTTGCCGGATCGTTGTTAGAGCAAGCAGCAGCAGCAGCGGATAATATTAATTCGTCCTTGTTCATCATCTTCTCATCGTTGTTGGCTGTCTTGATGGCGGCACCATGAGGATCGCAGCCGTCCATCTTGGCGGACGGTGACAAATTGAGCTTCAAATCGACGGTCTCCGAGAAGCCTCTCTTCCCAGCAGCACCGGTTCTACTACCCAGTGGTGGTGGTGGTACTGTGGGCCCGGGGAGGCCCAGCCTGAGCTCCGTCTCCTCGAAATTGATGGTCACGTACATGTCAGCCTCCGCAGTCGCCATAACGACGAAGAAAGTCTTCCTCCGCAGCCTCTCGTTGATTGAGGTTTTGCAGCAGTGTTAAGAGTAGTAATGGTTTTGTTGTTTCTGGTATTGGAAATGGGGAGAAGGGGGAGGGGGGGAAAGGGAAAGGGATGCGAAGGGGGGATGATATATGATCGAGGTGGGAGGGAGGGAAATTTTGGACGGTGGGTTGTACGACACGTGGACGGTGGATGGTGGTTAGGCAGCCCTCGCGGCTTTGTCGGGGAAAGAGGGGAAGAGATGGAAAGAGAAAGGGAGAGGGAGTGATGGCACGAATGACGTATGACACTGGGTGGGGTTTAGGGGGAAGAATGAATGAATGAATAAATAATTGTGGGATGTGTGTGGACTGTGGAGTGGGGTGGGACAGGGCCCAACTTGGCTCGTCCAATTAAGAATAGCAATCAAAACTATGGTCGTGGGTATCTGCCCATCTTCGACCCAGTCAATTTGGAGATAGAATCCTTGCTTTGATCGGGTATGGACGGGTATATATGAGTAAAACCCGCAAAGAACTATATGGGTATGAGGCTGGTATGGTTTTAGTGTCCCCCGTTTCATACCCAAACCCGACTCACCAAGGTATTTTGCTATACGTAATAAGCTATAAATATATTTTAAAAAATTATTATTAGCATGAAGGTAATTAAATAAGAGAACATGATTAAAATGTAATTATATTTATCAAAATCCTGGAAATTTTTTACCCTCTCAGCCGGTCACAGTTTACTTTCTCAATTTCTCATTGTCGCCGCCTTTCCTCTCCTTACTCCTGAATCATCTTGGAGACAACCACCTTACCAAATTGTTGATGAGATAATAATAGGTCATTGCGTATCATTTTTTATATTTGAATTATTTCGATGCATATTGGTGTAACTTAGTGTGTTTGAATAATTGGTAGTCTAGTAGACTTAATTAATCTTTTAGAAGCAAAAGAGGATTTGTTTAGTTGACAAGTTTATGTTAACTATTTACTATATAGATGTGTTAGATTAGAAGATGAATGATTTGATATAATATAATATTTTCATTTTATTGATTAATCAATATTTAGGATTGAATGCTTTTTCCTATTAAGAAATATTATAACTATATTGATTTCCGCTATTTATTATGTATGGTTTGTGCTATAATTGAAGACATACATGTGCAACTTTACATATACTAATATTGCTTATACGGGACGGGTATTACCCATGGATATCCGAAACCCATGGGTATAGGGATGGGTGTGCAAAACCTCACTCCGCGTGGGTATGTGGCGGGTATGGGTTTGGGTATTTTGTAATGGGGATGGAGATGATTTAGACAAACCCGCCCCCAACCCGTCCCATTGTCATCCCTACGCCCAACCATTTAAACGGAGTAAATTTTTATATTTGAGCCAAAGAAGGAGATTCGACCTTTGAGACAAAAAAAAAGGAGTTATAGAGATAGAAAATGACGAACAACAAGACCTACGAGTTAACTGGAGCGCTTATAATACATATCTCTATGAGTATGGATGTGTTATATTTGGTATTCCTCTCTCTCTCTCTTTGGACTAAACCTCCTTCTCACTTGGGTATGAAGAACCTTAGTTCCATGTGTTACGAATCTTGCTAGTAGTAAATTGATTAGGTTAAGAGAGCTTCATTGATTGATAGTATTAAATTGACTGTGTGAGATTCAATCATTCCACTACTTTGTACTGGAATTCATTTCAAGTAGTGGAGATTTTTGTGAATTTGCTTAGCATTCATTCCGGTGAAGGTTAGTTGTCTGTCGGGTATTGTGTTTGATGAGAAGGCTTGGTCAACTTAAGATTCCAACATATTATCGGATCCTTTTAATTAATAGTAAAAAGACCAAAGGAAATTACAACTTAATTGGACCTAATTGAGGAGCTAGGAGGACACATACCCGAGTAACTCTTCTCGCTTTTGAAAACTCAACAATATTTCAGAAGATAGTTGATTGACTGTAAAACTTGTTCATGAAAAGATGTTGGAATGTTGATATTCTTTGACCATTTGTTTGATCCATGACTAATTGGCTCCCTCGCTTTTTTAATGTTCTCTTAATGCTATGTTTTCCAATGTTTTCCTCTGTCCTGTTGGATGAATAGGACTGAGATGATGCTAAAGAAGATGTTGCAGTAGAGGAACCAGAACAAGTGATTTTAGCTGCGGTTTTTGAAGAATCAATGAGTCTGGTTGCCGTTTTTACGATTGTAACAGCCCAACAGGTATTGCTAGCTCTCCCTTCACTCAAACTATTACACTAGTTGCTATTTTTGAATATCTACTATTTCCCAGTGACATTTGTTGTCCCCTATGATTGCAAGTTAGCTATAATATATGTGCAACTCCTCCGATTGCCGATATTAGAAGACATGAAATAACATGTTTTTACCTTGACAATTTCTATGTTTCCATGCATGTTTCATGCATCAGTGATGGTTGCTTGGGATAGAGTTCGTGGCATGAAGATTTTGTTTACCAGAAGAAGGATGAAATTTACAAACGTTGACTCTATATAGACTACTTGATGTCGACCATCATATCATAGAAGTAATAAAGAGATAGTTTATTAAGCAGTAGAGATCTAGCTATCACTGTGATGCATATTGTAACATTATAGAACAATTATTGACTATAAGATTTGATACTCTTTAGATTGTTAATAATATTTTGTAATTGGTAATGATAAAATAAATAATTAATCTTGTATTAGGTATTGTAATTTGTCATAGAAAAATACTGTGATTGTCGGTTTTTAATTAGCCATAGTAAATTACCGTAACAAGTGCTAGACATCTAGTCACGGTAAATACCATCTTAAAAGAAGTACATACTGTCTTTATTTTTTTTTCTTAGATATGTGCTCCAAGGTTGACATTAGGCACAATGTTTCCTGTGATTAATAAGTACAAATAAGCATGAGAAATTACACCATGAATAGTTATAATTAGTCATGGTATACAATTAGTCACGAAACTTTATATTACGGTAAATTTTCCGTGACTAAAATCAATAATCAAGGGAAAATGCTTTTAAATACAGGATTTACCATGATTAAAAGACCTTTTCCCTGTAGTGCATGTAAAACGAGACTCAGAATCTTATATTAATGTGTAAAAGGAAGTTAAGCAATTACAAAGAAGAAGGAACATATACAAATAGTTGACGTGAGACGGACCAATTTTTATAAGCAGTCGACCACTTGAGTCATTAGGTCGACCTATGAGCCATCAGATCGACAACTTATTGATCGTAACAGAACATACAATAGTTTATACAGTCTACCACACATGCTTATAGGTCAACCATTTTTTCAAGTCATGGTGATTTGCAAATGACCGTAATAAAGTTCGAATCATTGTAGGGAATATCACTTATAATTAAGAGGTACTGACCAAATAGGCAGGGGCCAAGACGATTTGTAGCTTGGGAGCCATGGCCTCCAAGAACTATAGATGAGCGGCATTATGGTGAGATATCCATTACTAGTAAGGTAGTAAATATGAATTTGGAATATGAAATTAGTGCGCAAAATTTCAATTTGCAAACAATAAATTTATTTTTGATTATTTCAAACAATATGTGTGTGAATTAATGACATTATTTGTCGTATTTTTTATAAAAATTGACACTCTCTGCGTTGAATCGTGACTTTCCCCTTGCAAATAGGTGTCTGAACTCCTAAGTCCTAACATCATAGATAGTTCAGTAAACAATTGTGCTGGCTGGAGTTTATATCAGTTCCTCTTCATAAAGAAAAAACCTTAAATTATAGTTCTAAACTTACAATATCTATAATGACAAGGTTAAGGAAACCGTATCGAAGGTTATACCGGAATAGTGAGTGGTAGGGTATTTTGCACCAAAATCGTGGTTTAATTATGATTGAACCATTTCCTATCCCTATAATCGCCTACCATTTTGAGTTCGGTATCCGGTATTTTTGGTCCGACAGGACGGTACGATAAAGTTTCCTAATGCAGCCTTGTTCAATGTAGCTCAATCTACCTTTAGGATGTTAGAGATATAAATTAAGTGCCATGTTGATATAATAATACAAAAAATTAGATTTTTCCATGCATGTTCTTACTTCTTCGATCGCATAGCAAGCACTCCATTGTGGTTTTAGTTCCATGTTTTAGTGATTTTTCATTGGGGTCAAAACTCAAAACTCAAGTCTGATGCTCATTTCCCTCCGCAATATGGAGGACCATGTCGGAGGAATCGGCTATAGCCATGTGGAACAGATGGACAGAACTGTAGAAGTCAAACCCTTAAAGTTGTCTGAGACTACTTGTTTTGATTTATTTTTCTCATGGCACTAAAACAAAGAAGAGAAAGGGAATAACGCTGACACAAACACAAAAGAAGAGAAAGGAAATAACGGTGAAGAAGTCCACCAGTTTACTGCCGCGTGAGTCTCCTGCCCACAAAATGGATCCAATATGGCAAAGCAATGCCTAGATTCGATCGGCCCACACTAAAATATTTTCATCGACACTTAAAAAAAAAGTTATTGAAAACATGGAATTTTTTTAAACTCGTGTTATGTGACAATCCAAACAACATATCGGTAGGGCTGGGCATGCGGGCGGATCATCCGCGGGTTTGGGCCGACCCACCCGCATTTGACCCGAATTTCGTTAAGTGGGTGGGTCTATGGGTGGGTGACGGGTTGCGCTGGGAGTCATCCGCCGGGTGGTGGGTGGGTTGGGGGTGGGTACGCGGGTGACCCGCTCAACCCAACAGCAAAAAGATCAAAGTTGTCGGCGCTAGAGAGGGGAGAGTGGAGACGTTAGACATAAACTAGGACTGCTCCTGGAGTTTGAACCTCAAAGTCAACCTTCCAAATAGCGATTCCCTCTTCTTCCCTTTATTTTTTCCTCTAATTCTTGTGCCTAGATCACTACTCTTTCCTTTGTGGAATTATTTTTCTTAGTTCCTTGCACCTGATAATAATCTCAATCTGTAATAAACTCTTTCATAATAGAATTTCTATCCATTTTAAGAACTAATTCGACATTTTTTGCCCTATTTCATCTTCTTGTTTCCCCAGATAACTCTCTTCGCCTATTATCATGTCAAGTTGACTCCTTTCTATTATATACATTGTGATGTGGGTGAACCCACAAACCC